GACTATAAACATACAGGCCTGTGACCTGATTCCAGCTCTGCCACCAATAAGCAAGTCACCAAACACTACACCTCAGTTTCCTCGGCCATAAATTAGGTAACTAAACTGCCTTGTCCCTGAGGATTCTTCCAGGTTCAAAATTCTCCGAAGTCTAAGTAAATAAAAAAGAGATCTCACATTGCATTTGTGATTTTTTTTTAGATCTGGATTTGATTTCATTATATCTAGGACTAAATTTCCACTAGCAAATATGAAAATGACTTCAGAGGAAGATGACTGATAGAACATAGCATCAACTCCCAAAGTGATAAAATATTTCACACTGTCCCAGGTAATTTCAGCAGAACCAACTTCAAACTCAGGCTTAGTATTTACCGTGTTAACTGAGGAAAAATTACTGTTCTCTCTTAGCCTCAGTTTCCTCACCCCTAAAATAAAAGTGATCATAGGGTTATTGAAGTTAAAGATTATGCATAACGTTTCTGGCTTTATAAGGAAACTCAGTATTTAATTAAATTAAATTCCTTCTCATTCCCCCCTAGTGAGGTACCTTCCACAGAATTCCCAATTCAAGATCATCCCAGCATGTGGTCAATAACTGTCTCTGCCAATGACTGTTGCTGTTCTCTTCTAATAACAACAGCTACAATTTTCATGAATAACTCTTGCATCCTAAGTGCCTTAAGCATGCTGTCTCGTTTAGTCCTCACAATAACATGTAATCATATAAGGCTGATACCCCTATTCTTCAGATGATAAAAATGGTGAGATAATGCCCGCCCACAGCCACACCACCACTACTGGAAAGGCCAACAACACACTCAGGTAACCTGGCCTCGGAGCCCCAACACTTCATGATTACACAACGGCCCTTTATCCTCAGGGACCTCCTACCCAATGATCTACAATATATCCCACACAATAGCAAAGACATGTGAATGAATAGACCACACCCTTTAAACTCATCCTCACGTAAACAAGTTCAGACTGAGTTCTACTTCCAAAGCTGCTTGTGAAAACCTGTCCTGGGAGACCTGCCCACACACTCCACTAATTAATCTGCTTTCATAAAAACCGTGGGACTGATTTTGATCTACAGGTCATGAAATTTATTCAGGAGCTTTGTTTCCATCCAAATGATGTAGATGATTTTTTAAGTTTTTCAGTTAATACCTCAAATTCAAGAAATAATGACTTTCCATATTACTAGATCAAGATGGAAAATAAGATACCTCATAGTCAAGGTGAGAAAGACAGAAAGACAATGAAGAACAAAGTGTAACTTTAAACTTAAAAAATAAAAGGTAAACATACCATTAACTCAACAAGACTTTAGGACAAAAGGAAAAATCAAGTTCTAGGCGGATTAGAGACATTCAGAGTATGTCTCACTCTGATACACCTCAATGCAGAGATGGAAGTGGGCTTGGCATCATAAATAAATAAACAGTGCTTCCAGACCAGCAGGCACGCACCAAGAGATGGGGGTAAAGGGTCTGTTCCCTATTATTTAAAGCAAATCTTGTTCAGGAAAAACACAGAAAGTTTACAAATACAAATTCCACGTTTATAAAGAGAAGGAAAAATAAAGCAGAAATAATTTTATAATGGAATTACTATCAAAATAATGCAATTATTCCACATGTCTCCAAAGATGAGATCACTCTCATTTACAAACTAAGAATTCAAATGTTCTTAACTTTTTTTCCCCCTTGATTTGGCACAGAACTCCAGAGCAGCATCACAGTAAGGGAAGAAATAAGAGAAGAGATAAGGGGAGAGACTCTCCACCCAACAATCTAGTCTGACTTGATTTCAAATACGAAGAGCTTTTCCATCTCCTCTTTTCTCATTACTACCTGAACTCTGACTGCTGAAAGTTAGTGTTTATTTAACCAATGCTTTTACACAGAAGAAGAAAAGAATATGAACCTAGTTCCATTCAATATACAAATGATGATAGTAGTGATGGTGATAATAACAAATACACCTCAATATCTGAATGTCACCACTAGAAAAACATTAATATACCTTTGGAGAACTCCACAAAGTTTTGTAGAAACACTTTTTTGGGACAATTATTCACACACAAACACACTTCATAACTGATTCCCAATAAATTTTAAATGACGTATTGAAAAAGTCAATCAATTAACTACAATTAATCAATGCCGCTGGCCTCAAAAGTGGAAATGTACAAAAAATTTCCCCATATGTGTTAAAAAAAAAAACTCTTCCTTAAAAACAAGCATATTGGGCCTCCCTGGTGGCGCAACGAGTTAAGATGCAACCTATGTAGTTAACTGCAGCCACTGCAACATGAGTTCGATCTCCAGCCAGGGAGCTACCCACAAGGTGCAGCAGACCTCTCCTGACTCGTCCGCTGCTCCCCTCAGCAGTGTATTTCGGTCAATCTGCCTGTTCTGTTTCCCTCTGTCTCTGGTGAATCCTCTCATCGCCCCACACCTCTGGCCTGTAACCCAGTTTTTGTATGCATAAATAAATAAATCTTTAAAAAAAAAAAGCATACTTTCTCTACTTTTTAAAAGTATATTCTGTAATCAAAAAGGTTTTTATTATTGTTGACACAATAAGGTAGAAATGCATTCTGGTTATAGTGAAATAATGCCCTGCCCCTGGGATTGCTAAGACCTGAACTGACAGAATTAGTCTCTCAGAACCTGTCCCCTCCTTACCCAGCTCTTCTAGAAGATGAATCTTACTTAAAAACCAAGCTTTCCTTAGAGACCCTCATAAGAAAATGATTAAAGATCCAAATCTAAAATGCATTTGTTTGTATTTATGTGGCAAGGAAAACAGATTAAATCCTAGAAAGAGCCAGACCCCACTGACTGATAAGTCCTCCTTTATCTACATATTGTTACAACTGGAGGAGTCAGATAAAGGAAAGGATGTTGAAGACAGGGAGGGAGAAATGTCTTGATCCTTAAGTCCAAACATTACAGGAAGCATCTGCTCTGAGAACAATGACCCCACAGCCTCTGATAACAGGGTAACATTGTCCTTCGAAAGGAGAGTGCAACCAGCAATGGTATTTTCAATAGAACTGTACATAAAAGAGTCAAGACAACCCCTAGAAGGAGCAACGTTTTCTCTTCCTTTTCAAAGATCCATTCTGCTCCCAGGATGGGATTATCTGACCCAGTCTTGAGTCATTTTCCCTTCCCAGGGGTATAAGACTGACTCTCTTCCCAGAAGAAAAATCTGAAAATAATGTTAAAAACCAAGCCACAATAATACAAACTCATAGTGTTGGTACTATTTGCAGAAAAGAGAAAGAAGACTCAGAGAAAACTGAAGAAATGACACTATAGAAGAAATCCTAGAGTAAGATTATACAAATATCCAAGCACAACCCAAATATTTATTAAAATCATCCATGTTATTCTGGATCTGTGCATTGTACAGCCACATGAAAATTCTTCATTATTTGTGTTTATTCTTAATAAATTATTTATTATTTGTTCTTACTAATGCATGTGGAATCACCTTAAGTATTGTCTTCTGTGACTTAGTATTTTAATATCATAAAATCATGCTTCACTTCATTTTCAAAAATAATATTTCAGTAATATAAGCAAAGGTCTGTCCCTAATATAAAAAGGATATGAAGCTTCCCGCATTTTCATCAATATTATTACTTCTTGTAATATCAACAGTTGTTGTTTATTAAATACCTAATTTATGCATTCAACTGATTTTAAATTTGTAACTGATCTGGGAAGTAACTTTTGTTATCCCCATTTTATAGATAAGGACGCTAAGGTCCTCTGCAGTTAAGTAAACTGCCCGATATCAAGTACTAAGACTCAGCTTCATATGTTAAGCAATAATTTATACTTCCTCTGCAGGAAGCAAGGCCTTCCACTTTCCTGACATTACTCATATAAAAGACAAAGTAGCCCAACCCCTGCACACATCTCTTCCTGACTCTTACCCACCCACTCAGTCAACTTCCAGTGGAGAAAGAATAGATAAACTTTGATTTTTATCTCATTTCAGGATGGTGTTCATTTCTCAATGCTGGTAGAGGATAAACATTTATATAATGAACTGTTGTAGAATCCCATCCACCCTACATTATGTGCCCTTAAATGATATTTTAAAAAGATAACACTACAGTACACAATTTCTGACCTCTGACTGAACATCTAAACCTGCTTCTAATTAACAGTGTTTAAAGTTGGGTGGCAAGAGCATAACTGATTTTGGTTTATTTCCTTTCCTTCCAATCTTTATCAGATTCTAATTCCTAAGTACATGTTACTCTTTAACTTTAAAAATAAATCTTTGTTTTAATTAAAAAAAAAAATTACCACCAAAATTATTTTTCTCTTAGTACTGAAAAAAAAAAATTCACTGACCCATTTAATCACGGACCAGGTTAAAACCCAACGCTGAAAGAAAATAGATGGATTCTTTTACAAATGGATTCCTCTTTTACCTTACTTTTGTAATTTTCCTATTACTTTAAAAATTAAGGTATATTCCATAAAACTTTAACTATTATGTAGCTTTTCTTTCCAAGGAGTATTTAGTAAAATCCACTATACTCAATAAATAAGGTCTTGTGTTAGACTGTTAACTATGCCCATTTCTTCTTCCGGGGTACACATCGGCTTACATTTCCCAGCCTCCCATGACCATCACAGGAGAAGCAGAAGTGATATGCACCACTTATAGGCCTAACACATAATACCTCCCAGATGAGAAACCTATGTTCTTCCTCTACAGACTTAGAAGCCATGTGTTGATGATGATGATGATAGGAGCCACAAAGTAGAAGGAACCTGGGTCTCTGAATTTCCAACTGGAAGAGAACCCAGAAACACCATTTTGGATATTATCTAAGAATTAAAAGCATATTATGTAAGTCACTGCAAATTTGGGTTTTCTGTTACCCATTGTAACTCAAGGTTTTGCTAACAGATTCCAGTTATAATCACCAAAGCTTTAAGATTCTATTCTGTATATCTTACCTTTTTCAAAGACTTCTTCTGTTTGCAAAACAGAGGTAGTGAGGTTTGCTGACTTCTTAACCACTTCGGCTTTCACCATGACTTGTGAGGGGCTGTGTTCCAGAAGGTCCACCCCAATAGTCACATTTCCCCCTGGCCTGATGATTCCAGGGGCAGTCACCAGAAACCTGGGCCTAAAGAATCACCAACAAAATTTCTTATCTTTACATCTCCATTATTTTGCAATACTCAAATTTCATAGACAGTGAGATAGAATCTCTATACCATGCCAATTGCAATTGCTCCGATTAATATTGCCCACTGCTCTATTTAACACTGAAATGCTATTGAAACAACAATTCCCATAAATCAGTTTAGTGCAATAATTCATGCACCACTAGAGGAGGGCCTTGTTATTATTTCTATTATATAAACCACAGCTACACAGGATGAGCCTCAGTATAAGTGGTTTACATGGGGTATGCATAAGTTATTGGCAAACTGCAAGTCTTTAAAACCACTTTAAGGCAGATCTCACCCAGGCAGAGTGATTTTATTCTTGCCCCCAAAATAAAAAAGGCAAATATGCAACACATTAGGATTTTGCCTGTTTCTTATTCAAGATTTATCCTTCAGTATCTGCCCAAGAAAACATCATATAACAGTACCAGTGATTGAAATATATCATCTGAAATTAAACTACCTGTAGTGAAATTTCCAGGAGTAGCAGAGCATAAAAGTCCTCAAAACTGTACTTCCTTTACTCAGCCTAGGGATGAAGGCTCAAAATCTTTAGGAGTGGGGCTCTTTCTATTATGTGGGTGTCACGTCAGTTATCTTCCTACAATGTCTGCATCTAAACCCAGACTTTAGTCACCTCAGCCACACTTTGCCAGCACCATAGTTGAGACACCGTTTTCAGAGAAAATATATTATCAGATGTCTTTGGGAGAAGAAAACATGTTTGTTATTCGGGAGCAAAAACATTGAGGAAAAAGAGAGGCAACATGGACTTAAAATAAAGGACTCCCTTTAGAAAGCTGACATGGGGGCCTCCCCGGTGGCGCAGAGGATAAGTCTCAGGACTATGTTGCTACTGGCAGCCACAGCAGCACGAGTTCGATCCCCGGCCAGGGAGGTGACCCACACGGAGCATCAGACCTCTCCTGGCTCGCCCGCTGCTCCCCTCAGCAGTGTATTTCACTCGGTCGGCCTGCTCTGTTCCCCTGCTCTGTTCCCCCGCTCTGTCTCCCGTGAATCTTCTCACCCCATTCCCCCTCCCACCTCTGGCCTACACCCCAGCTCTTCAATAACTCTTTAAGAAAAGAAACCAGACATGGTCAGAGAGACGCTCCACCTTCAAGGGTGGAGAAAGTCAGCCCCTAAGAGAACCGCGCCGACCCGACAGCCGGTCAAAACTCCAGGCCGGTGCCCAGCTGGGATCTCGCCCGCCGCCCGCCGCCCGCCAGGCCGCCCGCGGCCCGGACGAACCCATCCCGCCGCGCGCTCCCCGCGCCCGCCCGCCCTCCTCCCGCCACATGCGCCCGCGTCCTACCCCCGGGCGGCGGCCAGCTGCGCTGCGCACAAGCAGAGGAGGTGGGCAGCGGTGAGCAGCAGTGGGCCCAGCATCTCCGAGGCTTCTGCCAGAGAGACCGTCCGCTGCTAGGGAAATTCGCGGGCACTGCGGGGTGTGGCTTTCCACCTCCCTGACTTTTTTCCCCAGACTCGAGTTTAGCAATCTGAAATGGGCGCGCCCAACAGCGGAGTGAGATCTAAATTGAGATGGCACTTGGTGACTCCACCCCTCCCACCCTCATCGCAATGGCGCTTCTCGCTCTTCTGACAAACATCGCCAAACCAGGGGGGCGAGAAGTGGTTTCTGACTACTGTCAGCCCGACCTGGCCCCGGCAGCCCTGCTCCCCACGGAGAACACGGGACGCCCACTTCCCCAGCCCCGGGTTCCTCCGAGCCGTTTAGCACTCTACCCGCGATGCCCAGAGCGAATAAACAGGCCATCCTTGTGAGGAGAAATTCATAGCAGCTATGAGAAGTGGAAAAAAATCAATCATTGTCCTCCAGACTATGAGTCAGAATTTTAGAGAAATGGCAAACACGCACACACATACACACAGAGGCCAAAAAGGGGAGCATGTGCTGGGTAGTTGTTTCGTATGTGTTAATGAGCACAGAAGAAAAACATTTTTTCCTCCTTTAAAACAAAAATTGAAGTATATTTTTGCTATTCCAGGAAAAAGTTGTGATTACTCACCTTAAAAAAAAAAAAAAAAGAGGGGGGTAGTAAAGATCTCCAAACTCAAAAGTTAGGCGTTGCTACTTGGCACTCTGAGAAACAATTATCTGCAGAGATGCTTTATGTTTACCGCTGAATCTAAACTCATTTACTATAAAAAGTTTTCACTAGCCGGTGACAGTTGGAGCAATCTGTATACACACAATTAAGAGGGAGGTAGCTCGCCTGCCCCCTGAAGGCCAGTAGCCCCAAGAGCTCAGCAGTTACCCATGTCCCAACTCTTCAACATCCTGGCAGCTCTGCAACTCCTTTTCCAGGCTCTTTGGCACTGCCACTATCCTCTCATGACTCAGGTTTCACCATGACTACACCATAAAAGCAGGGAACTGCCAGAAACTGCTGGAAAACAGCACATTCAGTCCCTGAAAACTTAATCTTTTTAGTTCTTGGAGAAAAGTTTGAGATGTTGACGTTTTCATACAGTGCAAAATGCAAGAGGAAAAGAGGTCAGCAAAGGGATGACAAAGCTATGTGCTAAATAAGGGTAAAAGTAGCACCTAGACAAACTGTGGTTTTTGGAGTCCAGGAACTTGCTTTCTTCCCTTTCCTGTTCCACCCTTTTTCACCCTGATGAACAGCTTGCAGAGGTCTCTTATGTCCTTACATGTCCTACAGGCAGCCTATCTTTAGGGGCCTACTTCCTGTGCAGGCAGGACTTGGTATAGTGAAAAGTGTCTGAGTGAACACTTTGGTACAGACCCTGTCCCTAACATGACTGTTTCTGCTGTCTGGTCTCCTCAACTCTTATTCAGTGAAGAGGACCAGGGTCAAATGTGGGCAAAATGTCAAGGTCTAAATCAATCTTTCTCAAACTCTAGTGTGTATGGAAATCACATTAATACATAGATGCTTGTTCACCAAGTCTGGAATGGGTGCTGAGATTTAGCTTTATTTCAGCATACAGTGGACCACCAAGGACCTACAGGTAGAGACAATTTGGGGGTACTTGGATGAGAAAAGGAAGTGGGGAATGTGAAGTAAATTCTTTTCAAGTTTCATTTTATAAAATGGATCAATAAATTCAAGCTTATTCTAGAAATAGCAAATTTTGTTATTGACATTGCCATTTTTTTTAACAAAATTTTTATTGAAGAACCATGTACTTACATAATTGTTAATATTCTGGAAGTATAGGATCGTCCCCTTCAGGTGTAGTCTCCATAACACACCCACCACCAAGGTACCATTGGTCTTCTACCATAGTCCATTGTGTCCTCTCCCTACCCTGCTCTTAACCATCCCTTTCCTCTCTAGATGCCTCAGCTCTATGGTGAGTGTTCGAAGATTGGTTTTAAAGTTTGTCTTTGTCTGACACTTTGTTTGGTTTCTCTATGTTTCACATATAAGTGACACCATCTGGTATTTATCTTTCTCCTTCTGGCTTATTTCACTTAGCATAACCCCTTCCAGCTCCAACCAAGTTGCTGCAAATGGCATGAGTTTATCTTTTTTAATCACTGAGTAGTATTCCATATCTTCTTGATCCACTCATCTGTTTAAGGGCACTTAGTTTGTTTCCCTAGCTTGGCTGTTATAGTGCTGCAATAAACATGTGCATGCATGTTTCCTTTCAAATTACTATTTTTGTATTCTTTGGGAAGTGAGCAAATTTTAAGGGGAAATCCAAAAGATTATTTGATAATGTTGCATTCTAAGAAGACTTCTAAAAGGATTTGGAAACACCTAGTTATTTTATAAAAGTAAATTTGCAGATTTTAAATTTGTACTATATAGTTGTTGAAAAACTTAACCATGCAGAAAGTTAGCTATGTGAATTTTCATAGAAATGAAGCTATTAAATGCCTGGCACAGAGTAATTACTCAATAAAAATTGCTTAAATGATTAATAAAAAAACACGTGCCCTCATGAATACTGAATAGTTCTTTGGCATAAGAACTCCAAGATTTTCCCTTTTCTCTCGTGACCTGTCTTTATGGTGTCATATAATGGGAAAATCAGAATAATGAGACAGATCCCAAAAACATAGTGTTTTTTTTTTTTCTAAATAATTAAGAAAAGGGGCCTCCCTTGTGGCGCAAGGGATAAAACACAGCACTATTCAGCTATCTGCAGCTACTGCAGCACAAGTTCAATCCCTGGCCAGGGAGGTGACCCACATGGTGCAGAAGACCTCTCCTGTCTTGCCCCCTGCTCCCCTCAGCAGTGTATTTCAGTCAATCCACCTGTTCTGCTCCCCACTCTGTCTCTGGTGAATCCTCTTACCACCTGCACCTCTGACCTGTATGCTGGTTCTTATATGCATAAATAAATAAATCTTTTTTAAAAATTAAGGAAAATTGAAAATAGCCTGAGCACTTAACAATAAGAGATTGGGTTAAGTAAATCATGGTATACTGATGTAACAGAATACTGTGAAGTAATTTAAAATGTTATTCTTGAATTGGAGACTGCTTAACTGTCTAGGAATAAATAATCATGATATACAATTGAGGGTATCTGTGTTATAAAACAAAATTTAAATGTGATTTGATTTTTATAAAAATAAAGTGAGTTTATATGTACATATCCATTATGGATATATGCATTGAAGAAAGAATTGAAAGATAGTCCCCAAAATGTTATCAGTAACGTTTTGGTGATTTCCTATATCTACCAAGTTTTCTACTTGGTTTATCCTTTACGAAGACAACAAACACAATATTATTTTAGTAAGTAGTCTTTAAGAGGGCATGTTAGAAGCCCTTTTGAATAAAATTCACAAATTTTGATACCAAAAATATTATGTATGTTCTCATAAATAACTGATTTTTGGCATAAGAACTCCATGATTTTCCTTTGTCACTTCTGACATGTCTTTATGGTGTCATTCAATGTGAAAAACAGAAATCTTATGAAACAGATCCCAAGCAATCATTGATGCTGGTGCATCAGTCATTGGCTCTGTGTCTAGTGTAGAACCTAACATTTCTCTTACCCAAGGGAGAAATGCTAGATGTGGGTGAGAAAAGGAAAGACAAGAAAGAAGTGTCTCCCAACCACTTCCAACTTTGATATCATGGGTAAGCTGCAGGAGAAAATAGTCTTTCTTACCCAGAATCACATATGCCCTTGGCCCAGAATTCAGGAAAGCTCAAAGAGGAGATCCTCTCAGAACTGAAAGAGCTATAAGCTCCACTACCCAACAACCACAAAGTGAATGAGCAAATCAGCAACAATATAGGTGAGTGGCCCACCTGCCTAACACCTCTGCAGTAACATTCAGAGAGTGAAAAACATGGTTCCTGCTTCACTGCTGCCTTCCAAACACACACAAAATGTCTCTTGTGGCCAACACCACCTCAGAAGCATACAGGGAAAGATTTTCTAAGATTTAGCTCCATTTTAGGTTAGTTAGAACAATATGAAGCTACCATATTGCCTCAACAACTGGGCATCTGTATATGGCCTTTTTAACTATATTTAACTTCAAAGAAAGGCAACAGAAAAATCACACATCTGCCTAACATGATACAAATATCCCTCATTCAATCAAAAATTAATCCCCATTCTAAAAGAGTGTACAAAGTCCATTTAACCATCTTTGAATACTGTTTATGCCTATTCCAGCTAAATCATATTCGCTTTTTATATCCTGTTATTTCAGTACTGAAGTATAAGGCTAACTACTTTGAACGTATGTTAGAGAAATGTGAGGGAAAGAATATATATTGTTCAATATCTGTTAAAATATTGGTTAACATATACAGAAATGTATTTATATCCAAACAAGAAAAAAAAGCATTCCTTATTTATGCTCCTGGTCACATGGTTGTAAATGATATTTATAATTACCTTCTCCCATGACCTATTCCTCTGCCCTCAGTAAGCACTTAGGCTGGTTGTGTTTATTTGCATAGTAGGTCACCCAGTTCTTCATTCCTGAAGGATCTAAGCCACTATCATTCCTGTTTGTCTTATATTGGTGCTTTTATTGACTTTAATTACAGAATCTTGGAAGATTAAAGCAATGTCGTATCTGCTGCATTCCAAAAATTCTTTTTAATAGTGTAGTGGCAGTTCCTTGACAATAGGATCATTTAATCACTCAGTTAATAATAGAAACCCTTCTTTGGTTGTTGATTAAGTGACATGAGGAGCTCCATGTGGCAAGTTGGCAATCTCAACTACCAATTAAACTAATCCATTGCAGTGTCCCATAATGGACACTAAATTCTTGGGAATTTAGACCTCAGACCTCTAAATCCACAGACCTCCATGTTGGAGAAATGGAGAGCAGAAATTTCACTAATGAATCACTAGTGTTAATAGAGAGAAACCACTCTCAATTCTACCCTTTACTCTTAGATCAATGAAGCTGGGAAAAACATTGAGAGAAATATTAGTTACTAATTTACAGCAGTTGGGGCCTCCCTGGTGGCCTGGGGGTTAAGTCACAGTGCTTTCACAACCATGGCCTGAGCTCAATCCCCAGGCAAGGAGCTAACCCACATATGGCAGAGCAGAACTCACCTGTCTTGCTCAGTGCTCTTCTCAGCAGCGTATTTCAGTAAATCTGCCTGTTCTGCTCCCCACTCTTGTCTCTGGTGAATTTTCTTACCCCCTGCACCTCTGACCCACACCCTAGTTCATTTATGCATAAATAAATAAATAAATAAATAAATCTTTTAAATATATAATAATAATTTACAGCATTTACCACATTTAAGTGTCTGTCATTTGATTTTTCC